CGGTTCCTTCCCTTCGTTAACACATTGACCGCCACCATTTTTTTATCACACGCCATAAAAAATTTGAAAAAAGTTACAAAAAATAATATCCAATCTTTCATATTTTTTTTTTACTGACGGTCACAGAAATTCGAAAAAATATGAAAACAATTAGTAATATCCAGTACTCCATCATGCAATGTTAGAAATCAGAGATATCTCGTACTAGGCGTCTTACATATATAGTATGAGCAGGGTCGGATTCAGGGGGGCAAAGGGGACTGTTGTTCCGGGCCCCAACCTTCCAGGGGGGGAGTGCCGAAGGAAATTAAAAACGTTAAGTACAAGAAAAAGGATTGTATTTACGTAAAGTAGCCGGGGGGAGGGGGGACCCCAGGAATTCACTTGCCCCGAGCCTCGCAACTTCTCAATCCGGCCTTGAGTACGAGATATCTTGTATTTGGCGGTCAATGTGTTAAAGTTACAGAGATCCTTCGTCTCGTCGAGTGGATTCAATCAGTCGACAGTATCTCCAGTGTTTCGAGGAGTTGTAGATGCATTCGTTCGTGTGCATTTTTTGCGCGTTGGCGCAAGGTGCAAGCTGCATTTCGCGACGTCTCTAGTCCCCCCAAAGTGATTAATGCTATTCATTATTCCCACGCCCTCATCACAACTCCCTCGGTAGATGAACCTCTTTGTGAAAGGTATCGCTCTCCTTCGGCATGAAAGCAGTCTACAATGCCAATCTGATGCTCCTTGACATCGTTGCCAGATGAGACGGAAGACGGAGATGATCCGTTCGCTTCGAGAGCTTATTAGCTCCTGTAGGAGCGAAGAGAACAGCATAGTTGGAGATTTCCAGCTGGCTCGTACTTCTGAGAACCCCTGGGCGATGACGCCAGCGACTTGGCCCAGCTGCTTCTCATACTGTTAATGACTTGCCAGCTGCCAAGGTCGGTTGTGATTAGCTATGAATAGCAGCTCTGAAGTTTCGTGAATGCCAACATTCTTTGAAAGAATGAGGGGAAAACTTACGATGCTTCATGAAAAGCACCAGATACGAACTTCTTATAAACTTCTTACGAATTCCGCAATCTAACGAAGCTTTCATGAATCAGACTCAATGCATCACTTCATCTGATAGCATGCGAGAGACTTCTCCTTCGCATGAAAGGGGAAGTCCTGAAGGCACAAGAAGAAACCATGAAGGGACCTAATGCACTGGAGAGGAGTTCATCATCGATTTGCTCCATTCACTCACCCCCTGAGCGTGGTATTCGACCACGGGGATGCAGGCGAGGGGAAAGATCATACGTTTATGTCACGAGGAGCAACAACTTCTTGCCTCTTTCATTCTTCTCCCTAATTCGGATTCGGAATGCAAATAGGTAGATTTGGATTCAGGGCCACGGGTTGAAGTTTCCTCACGAAACGGAGATGACCTGCATCACCTCCTTCCTTCTTTCCGTGCAACGAATCCAAATCGACTAAGTCGATGGAGGCACACGGGGAAGAACCACTGAAAGCCTTGCGACAGCCTTGCATGCAGTTTCACCATCGGACGCCTTCAGAGACGACATGCATTTCAAGCATCATTTGCCGGGAGAGTTCGCTTCTCTTTTAGCCTTTTTCGAACCCCTGGCATCCTGGCTGGAGATCAATCTTGATCCTGTCATTTCGGAATGTTCCATGCACCTCTTTCTCTTCAGGTTTTCTTTCCCGTGGAGTCGATCAATGGCTAATACTCCCCCCTTTTTCGGATATTGCCTCTTTGGGTTTTCAAGCGAAAAGGAAGACTTCCTTGAAGCCTTCAAGGTTGCTCCGTTCCTGGTCAATACTCACGCTAACGGCAATTCCGGAATGCGCAATGAAACGCACGAACGGACGGGCCCTCAACCAAACTGCATCATTTACGAAGGAAGAAATGACTCGTGCCCAATCTCTGACGAACATAAAGGGGACCGAGCATCACATTGCAATGACAGCATGATTCAGGGCTCGCTTTCGTATACGCATACAGCGATAGTGACCGCGATCAAGAGCAGTCGGCGCCTGCCCCCGTCTCAAAATGGGTAATAAGATTGTCTATTGGATATAGAGATCGGGGTAACGATAACTGGAGGGCCATGAGGATAGGTTATTTGAGAGATATGTCGATGAAAGAAATACCACTGCGCCTTTGGGAGTAGTTGGACCCGGGAGATTCTTTTATCTGACGGGCCAGTCCGTGTTTCTGGCTCTCTTATTTTCTTCGTATATACACTCGCTAGCACCGCTCTCGATCCCAGGCGGATTCAAGCTCCCCCTGCCAATGAAGGCCCCCCCTTTTTTTTAAGCAAGAGGTTTTTCTTTGCGTGGTCCTTTGTCTTCGTCCCTTTGGCCTGTTCTGCAATCTCCAGCTCTTAGAAAGACCTTCATCAGTATGCACAAGAGTCATTATGTCCAGAATTAAAAAAAAAAGTTGAATGTTGAGATGTGGGATCCATGGATTGTCCTGAAACGAGTCGGGAAGGTTTTCCCCATTTGAATGAACAAAATCCAAAGCAAATATTTTTGCATTCATCCTCATAGATCCCAGGATGAAGTTTTGATCTGCCGCAAAGTCACAAAGTTTTGACGTGCACTTCATGTTCCTGCATGGATTTCTCAGCACAAATGCCTCAGTATCTCAGAAATGATTCAATCATCAAATGAGCGCATCCGGTCTTAACAATGTCGAGAATTGACCCTGACTGCAGTGTTTACTTGCGGGATATCCGCAAGACTGCCATAACTTTTCGATTTGTCCATATATTGGCAGGACAGAGAACATAAATTACGTTGAATTGCGTGCTTGCTATGCATTTCAAATTTGAAGAATGAGTATTTCCATTGGAAAGCATAAAATCGATACAGTTTCCGTCCTTTGTCCCTTCCAAGGTCGCGCCTTCGAGATTTCTTGAGGCGGCAATGCTCGTCATACGGAGCCGCGACGACCCCTGTGACCTAGGAGGTCATCAGATTTGATCGTAGTTGAGTTTTCTTTGAATGTAAGCATAAAACTGCAAAAGCGTGGCATTCCTTCGTGAGAGTTCAAAATGCGACCGTCGGTCGGATGAAAGACCCTTCGACTCGCAGCACTCCGACTCGGGGTCGAAAACCAAAACCCTATGGGCCTGGGGGTTGCTTGGGTTGCGGATTCCACAGCCGGATTTACTCTGGAAACGGATGTGCCCCTTTCGCGATGTTTGTTCTTTAAGCAGGCCAATTTAAAAAATGATAAATCATGTTTTCATGGTGATGGACATTGAACATGGGTGTGCTCATTTGATGGCACAATTAAATGATGAGACAGGAAATAGAAAAGCCTCTTTACGAGGCTTGTTATGAAGTGTAAAACATTCTTTTAGCTTAAATAGTTTCGGAGATATTGTGAAATTCGTACTGAGAAATCCATGCATTCTTTAGCACAGGTTGAAACTTGATGTAAAAAAAAAATAACCTGATTTTTGGAATGACCCATGACTTGTATCCAACTGAGTCGTCTTATTTCGTTATCTTATTATTTGAAGGACACTCGACCCGAGAACGCACATTTCTCTTTTTTTTTAAGTGGTTCTCCCTCAGGCGGTCCGGAGCCGAAGATTTCTCCGGCGAATATTCCCGCCAGGAGAGCATTCAGGAGTCTGGATTAGATTTCCTTGAAGCCTCCAGGAGCTCCGCCCATTTTCATCAGCCCCCTCTCGTGTCTTACGGAGAGAAGGACTTCGGAAACTTTGCACTCCGATACGAAATATTTAAACCGTGCTTCATTTTCGAAGAAGACTTTCTCATTAGAGACTTCGTCTCGCGCGAGTTGATCGCGGTTGCTTTTGCCGGAAAAGTTCGCATTCTCGGGAAAGACCGTGAAAAGAATTTGTCAATGACACTAGTTATGCAATGGAAGGGTCTGGTAGAGAGCGTTTCGGGATGAAGACTTGCGAATGACAGGTCCGTTGACTCAGGGAGGATAAATGGAACTCACGAAGCACTATCATCATTGGATCTCTCTCTCTCTCTCTCTCTCGTGCCATGGATCTTGGAAGTTTTGCTCTCTCTCCATTCAGCTTCGTTCAGCTTCCTACCGGCGTTGCATGAAGAAACTTCGTGGGGACCTGGGAAAATATAATATCACGCTATTCTCGACCCTGATTTGCCCTCTCCTCGTCCCATCGCCTCACGACACAGACGAGGAAATGAGGGCACGGACGTCTTGGATCTGGACTTATTAGAAGCAGAAAGAAGCGAAGCCAAATGAGAGGCCCAGATAGCAATTTCACTCATCCATTCACTTATTTGGGACACCGGAGTTCCAACTCTTTCCTTTGACCGCAATTCTCAGATTTCGTGAATGAAACGTCTGAGCTGTATTAGAGGCCTCTTATCATTTGCCAACGTTTTTTTTGCCATCGTCGAGATCTCGAAAATTTACAATGCAAAAGTTCCGGAGTTTTCATATCCGTCTCCCGCTCTCCTTTATAGAATTTGAAATGAAGTTTCTTTCACCATCGCACTCGACCACTTGAAATGCTGATTGTGATGGTGGTAATGGCACCGATTATGATAATGGTGACGATGATGATGATTGTATCAACCTTGAAATCGATGATTGAAATCTCCAGAAAAGTCTCTATAATCAAGCGTGTTTTTTTTTTTCCTTTGACACAAAGACGACAAAAAAGCCAAGGTAAGCCTAACGAATTCGAATCTTCTCCGAGGAATGTGAACACAGAAACACACAAGACACCCTGAAGGACACCATGCAGTTGCAGCATAACTCAGCAACGCCGATTTTTCGAATAATTTTGCAGTCTGGAACACACGCAAGACACGGAACATTTTACGAGTCAGGAACGGGGAAACGAGATAAACCTTCCACGAGCATGACCAAGTAGTAGTAAAATCCTCGGGGGTCCCAAAAAATCACGGGACAGCGATCCATTCTGAGGCCACCAACCGGTTTCTCGACGGAAGTCCGCCACCGCGAAGGCCGTGCACCTTCCTCAAGTCTTGAGAGGAAGGCGCTCGGGCTCCGACCGGTGCACATCGTTACGCAGGACCTCTTGCCGATCGGATATCTCGATCTCTTCGGCGCGCGGCTCCTGAACATTGTTCTCTCGGGGCCGACGCTTTCTGCACGGTAACAGGGCGAATACCTCGAGAAATTCCCGCTGAAAGTTTTCGTTGAGCCAGCCGTAGAGAAGAGGATTGAAGCAGGCCGAGCTCATGCCCAGCATGTGGCAGACCGCGAAGATGATCGCCTGCTCCTCCTGCTTATCCTCGAACGGATTGAAGAGGTCCACGAAGAGATTGAACAAATTGAGCGGGAGCCAGCTGACGCAGAAGATGAGAGCGATGGACAGAAGGAGCTTGTTGGTGCGTCGGATCCGTATGTCCTCCCTCTCCTGCCTCGCCTGCGACGATTCTTTCAGGATCCCCGTCCCCAGTCGGCCCTGGAGCTTGAAGTAGATCTGAGTATATGCCGTGCTCACGGTGGCGATGGGGATGATGTACTGGAACACGAAGGAGAAGATGGAATACATGGCCCTGCCGCGGGTGATGGGCCAGTCCTCGAAACAGAACTGGATATGCTTGGGGTAGTTTTCGATGTTGAATTCGAAGCTGATTAAATTCTGAAATACGAAGAGCGGAGAGGCCAAGGTGATTGCCGCGAGCCAGATGACCCCCATGACCATGAGGACCCCGGGTACCATGAGGCCCTCCCTCGTCGGGTTCGTGATGACGTAACAGCGGTCCAGGGCGATGGCCGTGATGGTCAAGGTGGACACGAAGATGCTCGTCGCTTGCATGAATCCGACCAACTTGCACGGGAACCAGCCGAGATTCCAGATCATGGTCGTGACCTGATACAGCGTGAAAGGCATGGTGAAGAGACAGAGGAAGAGGTCAGAGACAGCCAAGTTGAAGATGAACAGGTTCCTGGGGGTCCTCATCGCTCGCTTCCGCGCGACGGTGAGGACGACTAAGGCGTTCCCCAGCGATCCCACGAGGATGAGCAGCGCGTAACAACAGGCCAGCGTCGCGAGCGCCGTCTCGCTCACTTTCTGGTTCTGCTTGTATTTCTCCATGAGTTCCCAGCCCGAGCTGTCGTTTGTGACGTTCGCGAACGGAAAGCTCGGTTCCTCGAGTGAGTTTTCCTCCATCGCTCCTCACCCCTTTCTCACCGGAAATCTCCTATTCCGTCCGATCCTGTGAGGACGAAAGGAAACGCATTGAATAAACCCCCTGGGATTAAACGTACCATGACACGAGTTCTCTCACACACATCTCTCGCACACCTCCTGATCTTCGCGTGCAAAGACATGTTCGCGTGCGAAGGCCCAAGGAGGATCCCAAGATCCCAAGAAGGAAGATCTCATCGCACAAACCCGACCGTAAATCCCTTCCCGCACCCCCAGATACGTCTCATCCTCGCGATAAAAAGACGAAGAGATTGCCACTTCGAGCCTCTTAAACGCGATATCTCTTCCGTCCATGCGGAAACACTTCGGACTCTTTACCGCGACCGTCGGCGCATCCCCCGAAAGCGAAGAAAAGAACTCCCGTCGTCATATCGATGAAATATGACCCTCCCAGATTTCCATATCATTTCCCGCCCGCTGTGGGCTGTCCCTCTGCGACCCCCTCCCCCCCCCCCCCCCCCCCCCCC